CCATTGCCGCAATGATCCTCATGGCCCGGTGGTTCTGCCGTTGCGGCGACCGCTTCTCCTTTCTCTTTCTCTGGAGATTCTTCATTTTCTTCTTCTTCTTCTTTTATACTATCTTCTCCTTCTTCCTCACGCGACCTCCCACACGGCACCTTGTTTTTGGATATCACCAGCATTGCGGATCCACATTGCTGCCGAGCTCTCTTGCAGCTACCCGATTTTCTGGATTTTTGTTCTCGTGTTGGGGTCATCATATTCCCGCGCACCCGTGTATAGCGCGATTGGAGACGCGTCCAGTCAGTAAGTTCTCACAAGACCTACCTCGTCTGTTATTTGGCGATTTTGCTTGGAGTGGATCTACGAATATACTTCTATACCTCCGCTACAACTCCGGAGCTTCTCCGCGCAACACGTCCGCGCCTGCGTCCTTGTCTCCAACACGACCAATGCCACTCGCAGCATTGGTAACACTCCATTTGCCTTAACTCTTGGTTCTGTCATGCGCCCTTGGTTTGCGCTGTTGTTTACCGAACTAACAATCTTTTCCAATTATACAGATTGTCCATGCTCAGTGACATCACCAATAATCTATGCTAAATTGGCGCATTTCTTTCATTCCCTAGAGGACCATGGTACGCTGCAAGCTTCCACGGCCCCCGGTTGCCCGCCGACTATGTTGGAAGAAGACACAGATATAGCGAACGAGGTCTGCTTACATCTTTTTAGGTGCTGTTTAAGCGGAAGCCCGTCCAATACCTCCCCCGACCCGTTATCGAAGATGACAGTTCCGAGGCATGTGCATTCGACAAGGGCAATGGAAACACATTTGCTTACAGCGATCATATAGGTTTGGGTCATCCCGGAGACCAACGAAGTCTTCACTCAGTATGAACCGTACCTTCAGCGAATGGACTTCTACAAACAGAGAAGATTTATCTGCGAGATTACAGGCCATTCAGGCTTGACATTCTTCGAAGCGCTTAGATCGGAAGTACGTCTCTGTGGCTTTTCTGCTGTTCAGGTGTCAATACTAAGTCTTATTACTAGCTGGAGGAATCGCGGGAAGTTAATAACACGTTCCCTGACGCTTTGAAGGAGCCCATCCTGCGAAGGATTCAATTCTCCACTGTATCGCGGGTCGACAACCTTGGTACGTATGGCAACTTCCGTGGGGGGGGTTTTTTTTTTGAGACTAACAGCCGGATCTACAGTGGATGAGATTTATGAAGTGAGTTAGATGCGTCTTAGATGAGTTTGTTCCCGACCTAACTTTATACCCAACAAAATCAGGAATTTAAGCAGGACTTTTACCCTGGGGAGCCCGTTTTGATATTGCTGGATGACAACACACGCCTCCATGGTATGATCAGAGACAAGGCCAATTTCGCAGAACAACTGTATCCGGATGGCACCGTTAAATCTCCAGCATACGCGACATATCTCGTAAAAGTGCTAGATCGTCCGAATGAGGAAGCTCTATTGGACCAAGAGCACATTACTCGAGATCGAAAAACCTTCACGAAACAAATGTTGCGTGCTTTCATCAAGAACAATGTAACGCGGGAGTCTTGGAACGGCGCTCCTTGGCTAGTGAAATCATCGATTGCGGAAGAATACAGAATTCCCACGGAGGTACCGAAACATCTGCAATACGGAGCTAAGGTGGCAGAAAAGAAGGCGATGAAGAAGGCAGACCAAGAGGGTTTCTTCGGGTTTTTCGCATCACAGCAACTCCCTGAATTGAAACCCGCCGTGAAGGGCCAAAAATCCAAACCTTCCCAACAGGATTTGGCGCGGTCCAAGGAGGCGCAGTTCCTCGAGTATCAAAGATCTCTCAATGGCAACCCGACTTTCGTTGTGAGCAACAAAACCACTGGAGCCGCTCGTTCGTCCAAATCTCAGGAGACTGACAAGAAATCGCAGACTGCTACTGCAGTTGTCGTCAAAACTGAAACCCCTAGACCGCCATCACCTCCTCCAATCAAATATCCTATCGAGGATCTAGATATCGCACCGGACCGCGAAAAGAAAAAGCAAAGGCCAGCTTTGAAGTTCTTGAAAGTCAACGAGTCAGACAGTCCTGATGATGAAGATTTGCTACATGATAATATCGACATGAAGTCAGTGGGATTGCTTCTCGAGACGTGGAATACCCTCAACGTGTACTGCGAAGTCTTCCAGTTGGACTCGTTTACCTTCGATGATTTTCTCCAGGCCATGCGCTTTTCATCCGAGGAGGTAGACTGTGAACTCTTCGTTGAGATGCATTGTGCTGTTTTGAAGAAACTGGTTAATTCAGAGAAGGATGAGAATGGCGCTGTGCAGATCTCGCTTCCCGATCTTCCGGTAGAGGAATCTGATTCCGACGAAGAGGATGAAGAAGAAGAAGAGGAAGAAAGCCCTGAGCCCGAACCGGTGGTGACTAGAATGACTACTCGGAGTAGCCTGGCCAAGGCAGAAGCGGAAACCCTGAAAGCACAAGCTAATCGCAGCCGCTCTAATTCAGTAGAGGTCAAAATCCATCGGGCTGCCGAGATGTTTGGAGACTATGGCTGGATAGATCGTCTCCGGAAGCGAGACTTCCGCAACGGTGGTTGGGAGTTAGTCATGGTTGGCTTACTGCACCAACTATCCGCTCGTCCACGGATGGAGAAGGTCTGTAACGATATACTCAAGCATTTGGCTCCTCTCGATGCGGAGCCGACCCAAGATACTGTCCAGCACCAGTATGCTACCCTCGATATCAACCTGCGCGCTGAAGCCCTCCAAATCATATGCATGCTCAGTCTGGAGACCAAAGCTATTCGAAATTATCTGGAGGAGTGCAGTAATCAAATGACCGAGTTCCGCAAGGAGAAGATCGAATATCAAAAGGCTCGCAAAGCAGGGTACGTAGATCGATATACAGGCCTACAGTGTGTTTTGGTTGACATTTTATTCCAGACTCGAAGAACTTCGACGGTTACACCAAGAACGGAAAGCACTCCAACCCGAGCCAGAAAAGTCACCCTCGCCAGCGCCAGAATTGGAAGCACTGGAAGACTCCAAGATGACTGGAGTTGACGGGGAGTCTGATCAAGTCGCGGATTCCGAAGAGGAAGAGGAAGCTCCTCAGCGGTCGCTGCGTGGAGGACTGGATAGAGTTCTTGAGAGGAAACGAAAGCAAGAAGAAGAACAGAAACGAAAGGAACAGTTAGCCAAACAGCCGAAGGGCACGAAGCAATATCAGAGGGTGCTGAAGAAGATCGACGACCAAAAAGCGAACATCGAGAAGCTCGAAGAGAAGATCGACGTGGTGGACAACGATTTGAGAGAAGCCGATTGCCCCCGAACCAGGTGTCTTGGAAAGGACAGGTTTTGTAACCGATACTGGTGGTTCGAGCGAAATGCAATGCCGTACGGGGGTATGCCGAACAGTTCAACAGCAGAGGCTCAGTTTGCCAATGCCCGCTTATGGGTCCAAGGACCCGACGAAATGGAGCGTGTAGGGTTCATTGACGTGCCTGACGATCAGAAGAAGCAATACCAGAAAGAATTCCATACAACTCCAGCGGATCGCAAGAAGGCCGAAGAAGGACCCACCAGGCTCTCGAACGCGGATGAATGGGGTTACTACGATGACCCTGATGCTGTGGACAAACTTATTGATTGGCTTGACTCGCGGGGTAATCGAGAATTGAGATTACGCAAAGAGCTGCTGCTTCAGCGTGACCACATTGTCAAGTACATGAAGTTCCGTATGGAATACCTTGCGCAGACGGCCGAGAGGGCTGAATCGGAGGAGATGCCCACGAAGCGAATGACGACCAGAAACAAGACCTACGTGGACGACCACAAGCACCGTTGTCTGAGCTGGCATAACACGACAGCCATGTCTGAGAACGGGCATCTTCATGTAGATGCCTCGCGACCAACCAAGCGAGTCAAGAGGGCCACTGACGACCCCAAAGAGATCAAGGCGGTTAATCGCCAGGGCAAACCCTTGACAAGGCAAGGCTCACGTTACCACTTCTAGCATAACCGTTTTTTATTCGATCGGCGTTTAATGGCACCTTTTATGGGGTTTTAAGGATACATTTGGGGAGCGGCGAGCAATAAAAAGGTCTTTCTTACTGGTATACACGAGCAACGAGACCATGAAAGTTTGGATCGCAGCACATATCTTTTATGTACAAAGTGAAAATATCTTGCATCGGGGAGCTGAGGATGGTTTAGTTGGTAGACGTTTGTACATAGATCAACTCTAGTAGTTTTGGAGCTGTCAAGAGGGCAAACTCGTTGCACTGCAGATAAAACATCACAATATAGAGGCATACTATAGCACCATCGATGGGAACATAATGCTTTTTTTCCCCCAAGCATTTATGTTATTTTATTTTATTTCATTTTTTGGATACTATTCTACCTGGTACACTGTTACTGCTGGATCTTTCGTCAAAGTGACAAATCCGTGGTCAGCCGTTGGCCACCCGACGGTCATGTGATAGGAAACATCCGCCACTCGGTTATCGTCGCGTATTAAGACCGTACGCAGGCCCGGTTTAAAGGGAAGCGGGTCGGTATCGGCACGTCAGCAGCGTAACGTCACTTCCGCCGAGTTTCCGCTTTCCACCCGGAGCAGAGGAATGAAGAATGCGGCCAGGTCGGGCTTTTCTAACTGATAATTGTTTTATGGGTCGTTCATAGAAGGATCCTGCAATTTACTTGTTATTTGCTGTCTGTGATTTTGAAGGTTGTCTCCTTTCTCCGTGGGGTAGATCCGCCCGTATCTCCGTCTTGAAATTCTTTCGTGAAATATCCATGGCATTTGATTACTGCCGATAGCCCGTGACCCTGACGTCGGATTCTCCTCACCACCATCCAACCGGGCTTCCTGCCTGGACGTGCTTGTACTCATGTCTGCTGTCGCACCGGAACATGCACATGATCCATCACCGATCAGCTCCAGAAACTCTCAGCCTTACCGCGTAGTAACGGACGCCGTCCCGCACTTGCATCCTCAGATGGAACAGGCCACAGATTCAAGACCAGCACGAGGGTCCACGGCTGGTGATGTGAGTAGGGTACCGATGACACAGACGACCGCCGTTGATGATGCTTCGTCGCCGGGTTATAAAAAGAACAGCCTTGAAGGCCCGCAACAAATGAACAAGCGGAGTTTGGACTATGTATTAAGGAGCGGGCTTGCGGGGGGTGTGGCGGGGTGTGCGGTAAGTTACACTGTTTAGCCATATAGTGCCAGGTGAGGTGTCGCGAGTATGCCAAATGCTAACTGTTGTTTTCATAGGCAAAAACAGCAGTTGCGCCGCTTGACCGTGTCAAGATCCTTTTCCAGGCATCGAACCCGCAGTTCGCCAAGTATACAGGCAGCTGGTCTGGCCTGCTATCCGCAGTTCGAGACATTAATCGTCACGAAGGGAGGAGGGGCCTGTTTAAAGGTCATTCTGCGACACTTCTCCGCATTTTCCCTTATGCCGCAATCAAGTTTCTCGCATATGAACAGATCCGAGCGGTGATAATCCCGTCGCGGGACAAGGAAACGCCGTTTCGCCGATTGATTTCTGGGAGTTTGGCGGGGATCACATCGGTTTTCTTTACGTACCCATTGGAACTAATTCGAGTACGATTAGCGTTCGAGACCAACCGATCTTCTCGGTCTTCCTTCACGGACATTTTCCGACAGATCTACCGCGAGCGGGTTTCGCCGCCTTCCGTACCAAGCGGGCTACCGTCCAGCCATTCAGCCTCAGCTGCAGCCACTGCCGTGACCGAAGTCTCTGCTGTCGTGAACAAAGTTGTTCCTAGCTCTGGACTGGCGAACTTTTATCGTGGATTTGCGCCTACCCTCATGGGAATGCTTCCCTATGCGGGAATGTCGTTCCTTACACACGACACTGTTGGTGACTGGCTTCGGTCACCGGCACTCGCGCAATACACAACTATTCCAGGATCTGAGGCACAGTCCAAGAAAGGATCGCATCGAACTCAACTGACCGCTGCGGCGGAACTTTTCTCTGGGGCCTTTGCCGGTCTTGTCTCTCAGACGTCATCCTATCCGCTAGAGGTCATCCGGCGGCGGATGCAAGTAGGAGGAGTAGTGGGCGATGGCCATCGACTAGGAATAGCCGAGACGGCCCGGACGATCTGGTTCGAGAGAGGCTTCCGGGGGTTCTGGGTGGGCCTGTCTATTGGATACCTCAAGATAATCCCCATGACAGCCATAAGCTTCTTCGTGTACGAGCGGATGAAGTGGTCCTTGGGCATTTGAAAATGCTTAGGCGACTGCTTGTTATATTCCTTTACTTCATCGACCTGTCCATTTGGGCAAGACGGGAGAACTCCTGCCATGTGGGCTCCGGTTTTTTGCTGTTCTCCTTATATATATTGTTGCAGTTCTATTTTACCTAGATTCAGAGGTATTGGCGTCGTTTGGTTGTCATGGTTGACATTGTTCATACCCATTCTTTGCATGATGAGGCAAGAAGTGCCTCTGGTGGTCCTGTACATAGGTACGTGGTTTGACTTTAGTGCATGAACAGGATTGTTTATAGATGAAAAAATATACATCTTGAAAAGAGTCTTAAATTAAGTACCGCACTATTAGAACCAGGCAACTGAACCTTCACTAAGTTAGCACTACGTAGTACGATACTGAGTTATGTCTGGGGGAAAACCTAAACTCCTCCTCTGATTGGCCAGCCACCTGCAGCAAAGCACAGACCAACAGCGGAACAAAAAAGTTGTCCGGCCTTCCAGAACAATTTATCATTTTCAGAACAGGTCGATCTGAAAAGTGCATATATCCTCGAAACCCCAAAAGGAGAAAGGAAAACATCTCCAACAACTCACTTACCAAACTACCCCCACCACAATTCGCAAACAGAAAGACAACATGACAACGCGTAAGAGAAATGAATTCCTCGACCTCGCCCCAAGCGACGACGAAGACAACGACCGCGGCTACGACTCCGAAGCGGCTGAAGAAAGCAAAGCGCGAATCTCCAAGCGCAGACGAACGCAAAACCAAACCGACGAATCCGACCAAAGCGACAATGACTCCGACGAAGACCTAAAACTAAGCAAGAGCAAAGGCAAAGCCAAGAAGCCCCAGCAATCCGAAGATGATGACAACGACGATGACGAACAAGAAGAGACCACCGGCGCGCAATACCTAGACGTCACAGAACAGGAAACGAAACCGAGCAAGCGGAAACCATTGGATAAGGGCAAGCCGCCGAAGAAGAACAAGACCGGGGTTGTCTATCTCTCGTCGCTACCGCCTTATTTGAAACCGTTTGCGTTGAAGAGTATGCTGGAGGCGAGGTCGTTCGGGCCGATTACGAAGGTGTTCTTGTCGCCTTCTGTGAGGCCGGCTTCGGCGCCGCGGAGGAGGTCGAATAAGCGGAAGACGTATACGGATGGGTGGGTTGAGTTTGCGTCGAAGAAGACGGCTAAGCTTTGTGCGGAGACGTTGAATGCGTCGATTGTTGGGGGGAGGAAGGGCGGTTGGTACCATGATGATGTGTGGAACATGAAGTATTTGAAGGGCTTCAAATGGGGCGATCTGATGGAACAGGTGCAGAGGGAGAGACAGGAGAGGGAGGCTAAGCAGCGCATTGAGGACTCACGGGCCAGGAAAGAGGACAAGGTCTTCCTTCAGGGTGTTGAGACAGGTAAGGTGCTTGATGGAATGCAGAGAAAGAACGAAGAGAAGAAGAAAAGGAAGATGGAGGCTGGTGATGTGGGCGGCCAGCAGACCAACGAGCTCAAAATTAGGAGAACCTTCAAACAGAATGAGGTTAAGAGGGGCCGTCATACGATCCAGGATGGTGCAGCTGCTTTGGAGGATGATACAAAGAGGGTGTTGGGGAAGATTTTCTAGTCGATTCATGTACAGTTCTTAAAAGATATCCTTATCAGCGAAACAAGCTTTGTTGGTTTAAAATATTCTAGCAGATCTGCCTTTGCTATGTACTCGGACCTAACTTTTATACCGCCAAATCAATGTCTCCAATGAACGCCGGACCCTTGGTGTCAAATCATGATTGTAAATAGACAGAACTTATGCGTCATCGTTCATGTTCAGCTCATCAAAGTCATCAAGCAACTCGTCCATGTTGATCTTGGGCACGCCCTCATCCTCGCTGTCTTCATCCATCTCCATACCACCCGCATTCTGGTTCTTCCGGGCCTTGTACAGCTCGATAGTGCCCCGTAGCTCCTGGTCTTCCTCGACGTCGCGAAGGAACATTTCGAAATCGGCTTCGAGACGCTCGCGTTCCTGCTCCTGCTTGCGGCTTCCGCCGGTAGGGGCTTGGAGTGCTTCCTCCTCGTGCTCACGAGCCATACGCTTGACCCGCCAGTTGCGGGTCTTGTTCTTCTTGCGCATGTAGTGCTTCTTGACAAGGACAACATCTGGAATTGTGGAGCTGTATTGGCTACTGGCCTCAATAGCATCATAATTGGGGTCGTTGAACATTGTGCCAGTCAGATGGTAGCCTAGAACAGAGTCTCCAACATGGAGAATTCCGCCTAGATGAGTACGGGTAAAGTAGGTCTGGTCGTTGGAGCCTAAGTCCGACGCGCGGGCAACGGTCGCTTCGGCAAGGTGGAATCGCCCGTTTGACCTGCCCACCGGCTCAATATCCATGACGATGAACTCAACCAATTCAGTGACATCCGCGAGGTTCTTGAACGGCGATCTCCAGTAAGTCGCGCCGGGAACCTCGGCTGTCTGAAGTGTGTTGGGATCCAAGAGTTGAATTGTAGTTCCGATTCGGTAGCATAGTGTCAGTGGCGAGATATTGCCTATCGACCGGGCTAACTTGATAGGGATAGCAACAAGGTCATCCTTGCAAATAGGAACTATTTCGACCGAGTAGGAGAACTTATAGGACTTCGTCGATGTATGGATGTCCATAGAGATAAGCTCTGATGCCTTCTTCACCTTGACAGGTACAACTGAAGAAAGGAACTCAACCATCTTCTCTGCATGGCTTCTCTGGCTGAAGTAGAAGTCCAATCCGTCCTTTGCTTCTTTGATGTTATTGGTTTCTTGATGCGCGCGGTGACGAAGAATAAGCTGTTCTAGATAAAGGAATGTTCGCTTATGCGGAACCTTCTGTCGTACTTGCTGCCAAGTAAGTTAGTACAGTTAATACGCTCCGGGATGGTTGAACTGGTAACTTACAACTGATGCGACCCACGTATGTGGGGAAAACGAACGAAGACAGTCGGAACATTGTTGGTAATGAACGACATACTCGACAACAAATGCCTGTTGCAGAATTGTCCCTGCGGCCACCTCCTGTTGAATGGTGATTTTGACTTTGATACGTCTCGAGTGAGGTTCAGTCCAGATGAAACTGGCATCGATGATCCGGACCTTCGTCAGGCCACGAAGCTTGCGCAGACATAGCGCCAACAACTCTTTTGACTCAAGCGCTGCACTGACCCAGCTGTTGGGGGGTAGAAGCCATCGCTGCGCGAGGTTAGTGACACCCTAATGTCCACTTCCGAGACACACACACACCTCACAATCTCTGCAAGTATGGACAACCGCCTCTCTTTGGATACCTTCGGAAATATCGACAGTCGATCTAACACAGTCTTGACAAAGCGCACCGGCGGCTGTTGTTCCATCGATCGGGGCACCGCAGTTACAACAGAGGATACTAGATTATGTGTGTTAGCCATAGCGGGGTAAGATACGTAGAAAGGAGGTCGACATACGTCGCAGCTACATGGTCCTGCGCAGCGATAGGGACCGGCGCATCCAAATCCATCGACATATTTGCAAAATCCTGCCGTAGACTGATATGATACCGAGACAAAAAGAGGTAGGATGAATTGAAACTTATGGGTTACTCGATTTGTAACTTTTTTTTTTGCCGCGGGGGAAAGATTTCCGTTTGCTTTGTTTGATTGCTTAATAATGCTGTTTGTCACGTTTGTTCTGAGCTTGAGCAGATGTCATCGTTTTTTCTAGTTCCCTTCTCAGCCAGCAACACTTTCTCATATGTAATATACTCGCACTATGCATCGGACACTGTTAAGGAGCCCCTGGTGCCGCCAGGAGGCTATCTTGCCACTTCGGAACATAACCTCTGTCTCAGTACATCGCCGGCCTTTCCTTGCAGCTTCACCCTACAAGCATAATTCACGGACCTTTTCGTCAAGACCCTACCTTGCGTCAGAGCAGCCGTCGCATCCAACACCCACAGAAGGAAGGGATATTTCGTCAGAAAATGAACCATCCGGGTCGACTAGTCATGTCCCATGGTATCTGCAAGAAGAGATGCCAGTTTCCGAATCACGGATATCATCCCGAGATCAAATCCCAGAATTACCAGAGGACCCACCTGCGATTCTTTCCCCATTCCTCGATTATGTTTTCAAAGACCTTGGATTGGATGAACTTAAGCTGATTGACTTACGGGGTCTGGAAACACCTCCTGCTCTTGGTGCAAATGTCATCATGATCATTGGAACTGCCAGAAGTGTGAAGCATCTAAACGTTTCCGCAGATCGTCTCTGCCGTTGGCTAAGGAGCAATTACAAATTGTCCCCATACGCAGATGGGCTACTGGGTCGGAATGAGCTCAAGATCAAGCTGCGACGCAAAGCTCGGCGAGCCAGACTTGCAAGCCGTTCCGGCGCCATGTTCGATGACAAGGATGATGGAATCACCACAGGCTGGATATGTGTGAACGCCGGCGTTGTGGAGGAAAGCCCTGTGCTGGAGAAAGACGAAACGTTTGAGGGGTTCGGACAGGTCGGCAGGGGTACGAGGATTGTCGTGCAGATCTTCACAGAGGAGAAGAGGGCCGAAGTCGACCTTGAAAGCCTGTGGCAGGGAACCCTAGACCGTGCCGAGCGAGAGAAAAAGAAGTATTCCGAGGTCACTCGCAATGCGCCTCCTGAAGAGGTTCGTGATTCCAATTCGATAGATCTACCACCATCTGACCGTGCATCTGGAAAAGTCCCCAGGTCAACAGTAAGCCTCCTATTTGAGCAGAAGAGGCATTTTCACAGCACCCGACCTATCGGCTGTCCTAGCGGCAGAGATAATGTCAACAGTGTGGCAAGGCTCCTGGCATCGGGACCACCAAGCGGACGCCTTGCTCATGGAGATGTTTTTAGTGCTGGTATTTCTACATACTCCTTATTCCAATATCTTGAAAGCTTGCCAAGTGAGACCGCTCGGCAGGAGCTGGGGACTGGCCCAGAAGACCTAGGCTCGACCCTCTTTCTTCAACTTTTCTATAACCGTTTATCAGCCTTGTCTGCAGAGGAATCAGCTGTAGCCCAGGTCAAACTACTATGCATGGCTATTACCCGTCAACACTTGGCCTACAGCAAAAAAGGTTTATGGACGGCGTTCATGAGATGCACTGCTTCAGGATATCATGTCTCTGATGATCTTGGCTTCGATGTTGTCTCAGCAATTTTGACGGAGTCACCCCCAGATGACCGCAATAGTGGGTCTTTTTTGCCAGACTCGGACAGAGAACTTGCTGTTCGGGTTTTGGAACATCTCTCCCTTCGTGGTACAAATGTTTTGAATATGAAAGTGTTAAACATGCTACATAGAGCGACTAGTACCGCATCCCCTGAGGTGGCCCGACGAATCTCACGTATTATAAAGACCCTTGACGTACCTTTTGACCCCGACCACTCCCGCGTCCTCATGGCAACACTTTTTCAGAACCGGGACTATGATGGATTCTGGAAGTTGTGGCGCAAGTTACCTCTGACTGATAGTCCACGTACCGGTGCAGACTACGAGATGCTGTTCCGGCTACATGCCGAACTAGGCGATGAGCTTCGCGCTCGAGACTGTCTGTCAACATGGGTGCCCATGATGACCCGGGAGGAAACTCCGATCCTGCTGCAGGGGCAGCTCCTGCAGCATGTAAAACAATGCCTTGTTGTGGCAGACCCGGATATTGAACAAAGCGCGGCGAGTGGAGCTACAAGTGACTTGGCCCGAATATGGAACGAGTGCCAAAAGAATATCTAACCTATGATCATCTTGGCTGTGTCGGACTCTGTTGCAGCCTTGGGGTGCTGTTGAAACATTGGAAATGTATATAATCATTGTAATTTTATAGTCTTGTATAATAACAAAAACGCCTTGTATAGTGGCAGCTGGCAATCGATACCTTAGCACTTGAGCGTATGCATTGGGAAGTCCGATAAGGGCCAAGGCACATGCCGATAAGCCTCGGCTCAATCCGCCCCAACGCCGTCCGGGGTCAAGCACCGCATTCGACTCATCTCCGCATCCTCTTCCATCCCAAGCAAAAACCAATTCAGCGTCCGGTGGAGGATGACTGGCCGATACACACGCGATGGAATATTTACCCAGTCTTCAACAGGAGTTTGACGAGCTCAAGCCGTCCCTATTCGGTAGGTTGCAATGCTCTAACGGTTCCGACGACCGCCGGCTGATAACGGCATAGAACTCCTCGCCGAACAGCAACTGTCGGACCTTCTACCTCCCTCCATTCGATATATCCTTGCGGTTGCCACTCACCGCCATCCTCGGTACCTGCTGCGGATACTGAATTCCTACGATGAGATTTACGCATTTCTATCGTTGATAGTTGAGCGGTACTATCTCCGCAATTTTGGAGGCTCTTTCACCGAGAACTTCTACTCTCTCAAGCGTGAGCGCGTTCTCCGGACCAAGAATGGCGAGATCCCACGCGCCCAGCTCGGCGCTCCAGGCCCCGTCCGTGAGACACTTAAACTGCGCTCCTCAGATGTATGGAAGAACCTGCTCCTCATGGTGGGTATCCCGTACCTCAAACGCAAGCTAGACGAAGGCTACGATATCCACGCCGCCCCCCAGGCATCGCTGATCATGAGCGGCGGACCCCGATATGACCCCAATGACGACCTCCCACCAAACCCAACCATCCGGCAGCGATTACTCCACTACTATAAGTGGTTCCTTCGAAACGTATACCCGTCCGTCAACGCCGCTTACTACTTCTCTATTCTGGCCTTCAATCTGGCCTACCTATTTGACAACACGAAATATTCCTCCCCATTCCTTTGGCTCATTGGCACCCGAATTCGCCGGCTGGGTGGCGCTGATCACAAGGCCATTGCAGACATGCTGGAAGCGAAGCCAGCTGCTGGCCCCGGTGGCCGGGGACGCTCCCGCCCAGGCTCCGGCCTGCTAGGTCTACTGAGCCCCCAGAACCTCTACCCCCAACTCCTGTCATCTCTCCGCTACTTCCTCCCCGCCTCTATCTTCGCCCTGAAGTTCCTCGAGTGGTGGCACGCGAGCGACTTCTCGCGCCAACTAGCCCGGAAAGCAACCGAAGTCCTGGACTTACCGGCCCCGGTCACGAACGGAATGGTTCTCCCTTCGGAGAGAAAGAAGCTTGCCGAAGAAAAAGAGAAGAAGAAACAAGAACCCGACTCGCCGACGCGCAAATCGGCCCTCAAATCTTCCCGCAAACGCATCCAACCGCCTATCTCGGCCACCTCATACTTACCTATCTTCACTGTCCCTCTCCCGCCCCCGGACTCGGATGCGGCATCGACCTGTCCCATCTGTCTTAACCAGCTGGCGAATCCGACTGCGTGCCAGACGGGATATGTCTTTTGTTATGTGTGTGTCTTCCATTGGCTTAACGGAGAGCATCAGAGACAAATCGACTTCATGAATGGAGAGGGCGCAGGCGCCGCATGGGAGGATGAGTCCGAGGATGAGGAGGCAAAGAAGGCTAGTGGCGATGGTCAGAGTCGGGAAGGTAAATGGGAAAGTGGGAAGGGCAGATGTCCTGTGACGGGAAGAAGAGTGCTGGGCGGTACGGAAGGTTTGAGACGAGTATTGATTTAGAATTAGTACTCCTGTATAAACACCCCTTATAGCATATACTACATGTGACATGGTCAATTACATACGTTATTAGTACGCACTCTTAAGCCATCCATCTCTACGCTCTTGGTACGTTTACGCCAAACCCTAAGTTCCTAAATTTGCAGTATACCCATCTTTCACCGTAGTACCATATATACACACCTCATATTAAGTGCTTACGCCATAGCAACACTACACTAAGCTTAGGAACAAGACTCGGGTATAACCTATCAAGGCACATGACCAACCAATCACTCAATAACATACGGCTTCGCCCCCTCCCCAAAGATCAAATGCGGTCTTTCCGCTGCAACCTTCAGAATAGTCTGAGCAAAGACCGAGTTCGCCCATGCGAACCACGGCCTCGTATACTTTTCAATGTTATTCACGTCGATCGACTCGTGCACAAGACCCAGGAGACTCGAGTTCCGGACAAGATTGATACACTCGATGATCTCAGCATCCGAGTCGGAGGTCTGGGCCTGTATGAGAAGGGACATTGGCCAGGCGTATTGGAGGCCGGCTGTGCGATTTTCATTAGAATTATCTTCCAATATGATGAAGGAGTGGGGGGAAAAGGAGAGTCATACCATGAGGACCACCAATACCGTGGAAAGCAGATCCCTTGAAGTAATACGGGTTCCCGTCCTTACTGAGGACCATCTTCCGGGTATTCTGGTATACCTTGTCGTCCTTGTCGACGTAGCCCAAGACAGGGAGCGAAAGAAGAGACGGGACGTTCGCGTCGTCCATCAGAATGCGGGATCCGTAGCCGTCGACTTCGAACGCAAAGACGTCACCGAACTTGGGGTGATTGACTATGCCGTGCTCGCGGACTGCCTTGTCGAGGTTCTCGCCTCGGTCTTGGAGCTGTTGCGCGAGGTCGGCTTTGCCGCCTGCTTTGCGGAGCACTTCTGCTGTCTTCTTCAGCTGGACGGCCATCATGGCATTGGGCGGGATGAAGAAGCCCAGGATGGTGGCGTCGTCGCTGGGCCGGAAGGCGCTGCGGATGAGTCCAGTGCCGTGGTTCAGGGGGTTACCGACGCCGGCTAGGTTGAGGGTCTCGGTGCCCAGGGTGGTGGTGCGCTGGAATGTGTACTGGTTTGTGACGAACTCGTCGTTGTTGAAGGTCGGCTGTGATTGCGCGTCTAGGACTTTCAGGAGGGTGTCCAGGGCCAGGTACCAGCGGTCTGTGAGGAACTCGGTTGATGCAGTGTTTTCGTAGAATTCCGTCCCGAGGGCGAGGAAGTTGGCTAGGGAGTCGAGCTCGTACTTGCATTCGAAGACGACGGACGGCTCGTATGCGGGGTGGACCTTGTCGTCCTGGCCGTTGTCCGTGGGTTTGATACCGCTGGGTGGTGGCGGCTGGAAGGCGTTGCAGTATGGGGATTGGATGACGAACTCAGCCTGCGTGTTGATTGCGCCCAGGATGAGGTTGTGCAGGTTCTTGTCTTTCTTGGCTAGCGCCTGGTAGCCAGACAATTGGTTTGTTGAGTCGCGCAGCCATTCTGCGTTGATGTCGCCTGTTACGACGAAGGTCTGGGGGCCGTTCCATTGCGAGCTGGCTCTTTTGGCCCTTCGTGATGCTTGCGCGGAGGAGCCGTCTGTGTGCCATCTGATGGTCGTGTCTAGGGTGTTGGGGAAGGCGTTCTTGAACAATTGAGCAAGATCTTTGTCTTCTATGCGTGATGTGATGTCTTCAATGACCTGTTCTACCGCTGGAGAGCTGAAGGTGCGACATTCCTGAGCTGGTCGTTGGAAGGGTAGGTTCAAAGGACCTCCGCTGTATGGGGGGCTGCCGGGGGGGGGGAGGGGTTTAGCATGAAGAAGATGCCTGCGATCGCAAGATCGAATAGAGACTTACTGTGGTGCTGTGGAGTATGTGAGATAGTCTGGACAAGCCCGTCGCAGAATAGCAGGATCGTCACGTAGTCTTGCAGAGCCCTGCGCGTGGCAGCAAGCTGCAAGGGCGACGATCAGCGCTGCTGAGGAGCGCGTCATGATGGACGGGGCTTGAGAAGGTGCGTTTTGTGTTTCAGGATGTCGCGTATATACAGAGCAAGCGATCAGCCCGGAACAAGGATCAGAGACTACGGATAGTACTGAGAGAAGTTGGTAGTTGGGATGGGTGTTGTCCCTTGTAAATTAAACGCCAAGCGGAAGGTGGAATGCGGAGAAGCTCGACGAGGGTTTGTTTATTTATATGCTGCTGTATCTCAATCCATATTTAATATCGGAGGGGTCATCCCGTCGGAGAAATTCCGAATCAATACCCTGGGAGACATGAAGGGTCACATTGCGCTGTCACTGTTACACTGGGAAGAGGAGGAAGGACTGTCGATCTCTTGATAGTTGGTGATACTATGAGGGTTTAGTGAAGTTTCCCCGCAAACAATTAAAAGCATCGGGAGGATCGACATGCCAAAAGAATGGATGGCAATGCTATATCGGTCCATTCTATAAATATGTACCCTAAGAAGCTTTTGCATGGTATAAGTTGGGGAAACGTACTATGGTCATGCAGTTGTTGTATTAGCATTGATTTAATTCTCCGAATCTCTGTTTGTCATACAGTATACGTCCTATCGTGGCCTACTTCCACTCCCCACAACAAAGTGGATGCCACGGCCTTAGATATGCTGAGTGATGGCTTTACTTCTATTATTCGCGGTAATGATAACATGCAGGCTTGCAAATATGCTAACTGGTATACATAAACTCCACCATCGCAGCGTAATACCATCCACCACCGTTTACTTCTTGGAAAAGAACGACATGATATTGCCCTGCCCAGCTTTACCTGCCGGCTTGCCTTTGGGTGCACTCACAGCGGGCTTCTTTTTCGGTGGCGGCGCGGGCTCATCCTCGGAGAAGGACTCCCACGAGGGTTCCTCAACAGTCACTGAGCAGCAGTGGTTAGCTGGAATCCTGCTATAGTCATTGAGAGCCTTACCTAAGTAACCTTCTTCATCCTTGCGGACCTGCTTCTTCATCACTTGACGCCTGCCGCGACGACGGCCTCCCTGAACTGTTATTTCTTCCTTGAGCTCCGGTTTTTTCGGAGGTGGCTGATCAATGAGGTTGGTTTCTTCTGGTGGCTCTGTAGCATCGGGCATTTCTTCGTCTTCGTCTTCATCTGTGTGTGGTCAGACTATGCCAAGCGCTCAGCAAGCTATGGTGCCATACCGTCGTCCTCCATCATTTTCTTCAGCCTCTCTTCGCGCTCTTTCCGACTCTCGCGAGTGGCAGCAGCTGATGCAGACTTCCCACTATCGGGGAAGAGCTCTTCCGGTTCTTCGTCGACATCGTCATCATCGTCACCGCCAAAAACTGTGTCCATCTGTCAATATATCTGAACGTATCCAAAACACCAAGATCAGAGCACTAACCATCCTCGGCACCACTAGGTTCGGCCTAAATTTCATTAGTATATTTCCTAGAATCATAGAGGAAGCTATACTGACTGATTCTGCCGGGGTTGCCGATTCTTCCTTCTTCTGCTTCGGCTTGGCCTTCGCAAAGGAGCTGAAGAGGTTGCTCTTTTCTCGCTTCACCGGAGCGGCCTTTTCGGTGGGTTTAGATGTGGTCGAGGGCGTACTTTCCCGTGTGGACGCTTGCTCCGATGCCGCACTTTCTTCCTTCTTTGGCGCTGGTTTTGCCTGGGATGATGTTGCTTCACTTGGCCGTTTCGAGGGTATAGTGGGCTTGGATGTAGTAGCAGTTGGCGCCGGGGCCGGCCGTGCGCCCGTTCTCCGCTGTCCGCATATCAGTACCATGCCTCCTATGAATGCGACGCGATGTTCCGGGGTAAGAAATACCTTGACGTTCTTATTCTGAATCATACCCCACTGTCCGCCGTACTCCAAAGGATCCTCTTGAGAATGGTTGCTCACCATCTCGCGATTGACATCCGTCAAGACATTAAGATCCTGTAACACCGTCTGCTGCAGGCTGTAGATATATATAGACGATATGGACTCGAAGGTAGATTTCGCATCTGATGAGCAGCGTTAATCGTTGCTCACTTGAGTCAGGCCAGAAAGACAAATGCCGCCCTACCTTCCAAGTCCTCCTCCCGCACTAGTAAAATAGAAGCCATAGGAACAGTATCCGGAGTCGAATCCTGATTGGGCATTGAACTGCTCAGGTACGGGCTGCTCGGGAATACATCGTCTCTGTTCTCCTCGCCATTGGCGTGACCGTTCGTAGCAGGGGCAGGTGTTTTCTGAACACCCGTAACAATGTAAGTCGCATTCACGCTCTGCGGTTTCTTGCTGTTCTCATTGTGGTGGAAATCGTATAGCATCCTTGGTCTGATTAGTCGCAAACCGACGCAAGTATCGAAATTATAACCCACTGTTTCGCCAAAGTACTATGCACCCTCAAAGCCCGACCCAACGAGCGGAAAGTGACCTGCGCAAAACAACTGATGTCAGCCAAAGGTGAACATCAACAATGTCGCAAAGAAAAAAAAACACAACATACCGTGCGGCGCTCGTTGAGGACATTCTCCGCCAGATACCTCTTATAATCGGCGACAGCCATTTTATCCAGAGCGCTTGATCATACGTTCGAATGATGGGGGAAAGCAAGTAAGTGTCGACGCGTCCAAACCACTTAACGCGTATCAGTCAGCGGGTCTTGGCAGCCTTCCCAAACAGTTCAACTAAATACTTACTCTTTCAATTTACTTTGTGTTGCGGCGAACCTCAACCCCCCCGGTTCTCGCTACGTACGAATTTCTCTTTCTTCCTGTCGTTACATTCTCGGTCTGCTCCCGCAAACCCATGGAGCAGACGTTTGACCTCCCCGATTCGACCGACTGGCTCGGAACGCCGTTGTCGCTGCTGACGCCACTCGAGTCCGCGCTCCGCTGCCAGGTCTGCAAGGACTTTTTCGATAACCCCGTTATTACCTCGTGCTGTCATACATTCTGCTCCCTGTGTATCCGGCGGTGTTTGAGCACGGAAGGGAAATGC